TGGATAAGTGTGGTAGCATTCTATACATCTTATTTTGTGAAAGTCCCTTGCTTAGTTTTGTCTTTTGCATCACTGTCCAAGGTAAGTTTTGTCCTTTAATTTCTGGGTGCTTACTTTGCTGGTGGTCCATTGTGATGGTCAGTGTGTAGAACACTGTGAAGTATTATCTATAGAGCTGTTCTTGTTGTGGCAAATTTCCTCAATGTTTGCATATCAGTAAAAGATTTGATTTCTCCATCAATGTTAAAGCTTAGCTTAGTGGGATATAGAATTCTGGGCTAGAAATTGTTCTGTTTAAGTAGATTAAAGGTACTGTAGATGACTATGGTCTTCTGGCTTGAAAAGTTTCATTAGAGAAGTCTGCAGTCACCCTGATGGGTTTGCCCCTGTCGGTCAATTGGTGCTTACTCCTGGCCTGCTGAAAATCTTTCCTTTTGTCTTGACTTTGGAGAGGTTCATCACAATGTGTCTTGGAAAAGCTCTATTTGAGTTGAGGTGACCTGAGGTCCAATATCCCTCTGAAAGGAATGTGTCAGAATCTTTGGTGATATTTGAGAGATTTTCATTTATAATATTGTTTAGTATGGCTTCCATTCCTCTGGGGCATTCTTCTTCCCCTTCTGGGATACCTATCACTTGTATGTTTGAATGCTTCATAAATTCCCATAATTCTGTCAGTGAACATTCTGCTTTCAATCTCTTCTTTTCTCCCTCTTTAACTATCTGAAATATCTCAAGAGCTTTGTCATCTACCTCTGAGATTCTTTCTTCTGCATGGTCTAATCTATTGTTGATACTTTCTATCAACAATAGATACTTTCTACCTTTAAGTTTCCTAATTTCTTCAATTTCTTCAGCTCTGTTATGTCCTTTCTAAATTTTTCATATCATTCATCTCTTGTTTGATTCTGTTTTTGGATTTCCTTTTCATTATTTTCTACTTTCTCAGCAATTTCCTTCATTGTTTTTATCATCTGTATTTTAAATTCCCTTTCTGTAATTTCTAACATTTCTTTGTAGGTGGAATCCTCTGCAGTAGCTACCTCACGGTCCCTTGGAGGGTTGCTCTGGACCGGTTTTTTATGTTGCCAGGATTTTTTGGTTGATTCTTCCTCATAAGTGTTTTCTTTTATCTGTTTCCTTGCCCTAATTTTCCTTTCACTTCCTCTTACTGTTTAAGTCATGGTGCCTCTGGCCTAAGGTTTCAATGAGTCCAGTTCTTCACTGCTTTTGTCCCCCTCCTTGGGTCCAGAAGTCTCTCACTGTCTCCCTGTGTTCCCAAAGGGCTGTTTCTGGGCAGAACTCACAAGCCAGAGATGCCTGGAGTCTTCTCTCCCCAATCTCACTGCCCCCGGTTGCAAAGAAGCTGTTACTCGGCCACCATCTTTCTCCCTACTCCCTTATTTTATGTTTTTTATTGCCCTACCTTTTCTTTTTCCTTTTTACTGATGATAATTCAGGGTGGTTGACATTTTTTTTATTTTCTTTTTTCTGGCTTAGGAGTTACACATTATTTCTTTTCATTCTTTTTCTTTTTTTCTTTTTTCCTTTCTTCCATCCCCCTTTCCTTCTCCCTTTCTCTCTCTGTTTTCATACTTTCTTCTTTTCCTTCTTTTTTATGATTATCTTAAATCATTATTATTGTTTTTCAGACAGTCACACTTTATCACCCTTGGTAGAGTGTCTTGGTATCATAGCTCACAGCAGTCTCAAACTCTTGGGCTCAAGTGATTCTCTTACTTCAGCCTCCCAAGTGGCTAGGACTACCAGCACCTGCCATAATGCCTGGCTATTTTTAGAGACAAGGTCTCCCTCTGGCTCAGGTTGGTTTTAAACCTGTGAGCTCAGGCAATCCACCTGTCTCTGCTTCCAAGAGTGCTAGAATTACATGTGTGAGCCACTGTACCCAGCAGAAATTCTTAATTTTAGTGTGTTCCATTATATCTTTCTTTTTTTTTTAACCTTAGCACTTTGTGTGTCCCTTTTACAAAATCTCTACTAACACAAAACTCATGAAATATTATCTGCTTTCTTGCAGATGAGCACTGTTCATTAGGAGCAGAATTTCTAAAATTTGAGCCATAGGTGTAGTTTTAATTTTTATCAACCACATTAAAAGTAAAACAAAACAGATAATATGAATAAGAAAAAATTATGAAGCTCGTTTCTTTCCCTGTTTTTAAAACTAAAAGTTCAAGTTCTAGTTACATTTCAAGAACTAATAACCTCATGTATCTACTGGCTGTTATATTGGGCACCCCAGCTCTAGAAACTTTAATAATGTGCCATGCACATTTAGTTTCACCCTCCCTGTATAACTGATTTTTGTGTGTGGTATTAGGTAGAAAATCTAGCAAGGGAATTAGGTAGCTTATGGAATCAAAGGAAGATCTTTAGGATTTAGAGGCAAATTGGGTCCCTCAGGAGCTAAAACAGGGTTGATGATACTAGCATCTCCTAAATATATGTCATCTATGAATATTTAGTCTTATTCCATGAGGATTTTCAGAATATGGGTGGAGACATATTATCTGTATTTTAAAGTTGTTCTGGGGTTACTTCCAATAGATGAAAAAAGAAGATAATTCTAATTGTGTTTAGAAATATCCCAGCTCAAGTAACATTCCAATACTAAGCAGCCAGAGGAATGATTATTTTGGGCCAGGTCTAGATTATATTCCCATATTTATAATCATGGGACAGAATGTGTTACTAGAAAATGATAGCTACCACAGTATATTATGTCTTTTTCTTCCATGAGATGCTTTTGGAGAGATGAGACTATTTATTGTGCATAGTAAGAACAAAATAAATATTTGCAAATAGTGCTAGTATAGACTCTTAATTTGACAGGAATGGTTACAATAAGATCTAAAGCAGGAGGAAGACTACAACTTCATTTGTTCTGAACTCATTTTTATTATACACACATATCTGAAGGCCATCCAGATTCTGAGTTTGCAAGGTTAGGACTGGTGATTACAAATTTGTTCACACTAAAATTAAATCAACATTTTCCTAATAATATGCCTTTTCTACAAATTTCTTGGTGGTTAAAAGAGATTTGTTGGTGTTTTTTGGTAGCTACGCAAAGCTTTGCAGCAATTTTGAGTGTAACTCTCTCTTGCATGTTAGTATAACCGGTTATTTGAGCTATTGGTCTAATACCAGCAACTTTTCTTCACAATTTTTTTTTTAAATACTGCTTAGCAGGAGAATGTTATTTAATATTGAAAGAACATTTTTCCTCCTTTCTAATTTATCTAACATCCTGTCTCAGTGGGGTTTTAGGCTCCACTTATTAGTTCAGTCATTTATAACAAAATTCAAAACCGAAGTGTAGAACAGCGTTAATTAAAAACAGAAAGTTGTTTCCTGAGGTTCCTTGTGTTTTCACTAATATTTCTTCATGAGTGAGCTGTCCCTCTTTTTGGGAAGCAAAGGCTTCTCTTCTCCCCCCAATATGCATTAATCAGAAGAATTGTGTGAGTTGACAGATATGTAGGAGGAAGAGAATTGGGAGGAGAGAATCATTCTTTAGCTTTCTTCTTGAGGATTTTCAATAGGGTTGCATGAGGAAAATGACCCATTTTTTATTTTTCGAACAACGTAATAGCTGAAAAAAAGTATTTTGGTTTTATAAAACTTCGACTTTGTATACTCAAAGCAAATTATATAGAATTTAGGCAGATAATTTAAAAGGAAAATGATGTAGCCTTAATTATTTGGATAGTAAAGCACTGATGTGGTTTAATTTTCTCAGGTGCCAGCATAACAGTAAATGGCTCTGACCTTTTCTATGGTTCTATCCCACTGGCTTTCTTTCTTTGATCTTCCTGATCACCTCAGCCCACCTCTCTCACACACAGGTTTTTTTGTTTGCTGTTTTTGTTCGGCGGTTCAGAAGCATAACTAATGATGTGTGTAGAGGTAGCGTCAGGGTAATGATAACATCCGATTCTTCTCACTGAATCTAAACCCACATATAAACAGTCAAAAATAATATCAAGGATTTCTTTTCTTTTGTATTTGTTTTTTTAGACACTTGGGTGAAGTGGAAAAGGTAGAGGATTTAAAAGCTTTTTGCCTCTTCAATTGCTTTGAAGTAAATATTTTGATCTTGGCTTATATTTTAATGCACTTTATATTTATAACCATAGTATAACATTAGTTTATACAATTTAGGGAAAAACTCATATGACATTATTACCTTCCACAACTGCTATTTTGTGTTTTCCATTTTAGGTTTTTGCAATATGCATATTTTTTGTGGTTGCAAATATTGCTTACTTTTGAACTTTCTTGGTAATTCAATGGAACATGCAAACGAAGAACCGTACCTTCCACTTAGTTTAGAAAAGCACTTAGTAATGATGAGAATCAGAAAATGATTATTTCCTGGAGTCACCGTGATTTTTAACTTTGTCACACTCAGATGGTGACTTTAAACACTGGTTTATTGTCGTTAGTAAGAAATAATTGCATCTTTTAACGTTGAGTAAGCTCACAGTTGTGTGACAGCAGTTATGCAAAGTTCGAGCTTTGTAAATATTGGACTTGCCTGTTGCTAAGTAACTCAGAACAAAAAATAAAACGAAGCACGATATAAATTATGAAATCTAAATTTTGTTGTTACAAACGACGCAGCTTTAGGGCATAGTCTGTTCACCAAACAGTTGTGTGTCCAATGTTTTATACACGAGTTAAAAAAGCAACTCCTTAGAATGAAGTAATCATTTCCTGTTTCATTTTTCATTTTCTCTTCGCTCGAAGAGCTTTTGTCTCTCCCCAGGAGTTGCTTTAAATCTCTGGGTAGGTCTGTTCCGAATTTACTACTTCTGGATTGGTTAAGATCTCTTTAAAGTGTGTGCTTTGTTCTCAGAACAGCTTAGGTCGGTTGAGCAACATGCTGCTACTGTTTAAAAAAAAAAAAAAAAGCTGAGTAATGCTGGAGCCTTCTCATGTGGCTGATGCAAACCTGGAGAATTTGCATCATCATTTAGCTGTAGTAAGTTGGCGTGACAGGCAGGAGCTTAAATAGGAGCCCATGAGGAAGCTGAGCTGGTTTGTAATGATAGGGCGGCAGCAGCAGCAGCCTCGGCAGCGACGTTGGTAGCAGGAGGAGGTGGAGAATTGAGCGCACCGTGAACACACAGGTGTTTCTAAGTAGTAATTAGAAAGCTGGGAAGGATAAAACACACCTTGAGTGTTTACCTGTGAACATACACTAGTGCCGAGAGACAGCCTGAAAGCAGAGAGGAAGACATCGAGTAGTCACACCAAGAGACACTAGAGTTGAAAGTTTGGGATTTTTTTTCCCCTCTGTTTGATTTTTCCCCGTGTGTCACTACTATGGTCAGAAAGCCTGTTGTGTCCACCATCTCCAAGGGAGGTTACCTGCAGGGCAATGTTAACGGGAGGCTGCCTTCTGGGGGTGGCAGGGAGCCACCCGGGCAGGAGAAAGTGGTGCTGAAGAAGAAAATCACTCTGCTGAGGGGAATCTCCATCATCACCGGCACCATCATTGGAGCCGGGATCTTCATCTCTCCCAGGGGCGTGCTCCAGAACACCGGCAGCGTGGGCATGTCTCTCATCATCTGGACCCTGTGTGGGGTCCTGTCGCTGTTCGGTAAGGACAACTTTTTTTTTTTCTTGGGGGGTGTGGCTGTGGGGCTGGGAAGTTTGCTTTCTGGGGAAGGAAAGGGTGTTTTTTGAGGGACTGAATGAATGGCAAAGGCTACACCAATTTTTTTTTTATTTTTTATTTTTTGTTTAGGCATGTGACTTACCTAAACTCAGGGTCCACGGCTGATGTGAGCCTGAATTCCCTCTGACTGCGTCCTGCAGCCTGTACTTCCTTTTCCTGACTAAGAGACTATTTTCTGACTTTTCCCTGTGGCGATGAGAGCAAAAGCTAACTTTGATGACCCAGTAAAATACACGCGAGCTTTTTGAGCTGGGAGTTGTGCTTAGTTACGTATGTTTGGGGCGTTCTGGCAGCAGGCACGCTGAATGAACACCTGGAAAGTGAAACCTGGCGTGGCCTATTAAGACTCAGAACTGAGTGTTCAGCAAAAGTCTTTCTGCCTTTTTATGAGCAAAACAAATGTGTGGCAGTCTTTCCCTTTTTAATTTTTTGAAAGTCCTTTCACAGGTCCTTCACATGGAAAGATGTAGGATGGCACATAACTCTATCCCTATCATAAAGGGGCAATATTGGCAAGCGTATTCCAATTTTTTTCAACCTTTATTTCTTCTCCATAGCTGTAAACTTCTGCAATATAAGTTTTAAGTCTTCAGTTGGCTGTTAAATTTCTGTGTTTGCCCAGATCTGTTTTTTTCATCTATCGTTCACTTGGTCTCTAGGGACACAGATAATTTGTCCACCTGTTCACTGAATTCATCTGAAGAGAACTATTAGTAGCATGATTTATGTTCCTGCTATTGAGTTGAGAAATAATAGTCAAGAAGTAATAAATGCCTCTTCATGAGGAGGGAAAATTACTAAAAAACTATCTGAGCTAGTTGTGAAAATGACAAAAACAGGTGGATTGTTAAAAAAATTAAATTTGATTCAAAGGTCTAAGCTATATTTCCTCTTCTCTGGACAATAGTGTGCTTTGATTTTGCAAGATACTGCACTTTAAAGTTAGTACTCTTGGACCAAGTACTAACACTTGGTCCTGTGTAACAATCCATTCATTCTTTCCAATCAGGCCTGGTAATGTTTAATTCATTGGTTCAGACATTCACCTAGAGAACTCAAATTTCCATTTTTTAGGAAGAAGTTCTTTTAAATAAAACTTGTTACAATAGAGTCACAACATAGAAATAGCTGCAGAGGAATTATTTGGGGGTTTGTAGAGTTTGTAGTATTAGTTATATGACGAGCCTGCGCTTTCAAAATATTTATTTACAACTGTGTCACAATTTTTTTGGTACTACTCCTCATCCTTGTAGAATAATTTGAAGTTATATGATTTATATGTAAAACCGTTAGAACTCTTAGCTACTGTTAATTGTAATGTTAAAGTAGTCTGGCCTGTCAATTTATAGATAAACAAAGAGAAATCTAATTGTTGATCATCTTAAATGATTTTGAGCACCCTTCGCCTTTAAATCTTCTGACAGCATTTGTCATATCCAGAATGAATCAACATCTGATCAGAAAAAAAAACCACGGTTTCCTGAACTTTGCATACTTATGTGCATGCAGCTCCCACTATGTGATTTAGTTTTTGGCACACAGTAAAAGTTTGTTCAGATGCATTAAGAAAGATTACTCTGGGTATTGAACTAGTTAAAGTGGTGTTGACTTGTACTATAAAAATGTGCTTATGCATAAGTATATTATCTCAAACAGAAGCTCAAAGAAAGGATAACAGAGAGAAAACAGCTAAGGGGGCTAAAGTCCCAGTTGAGTTGATATTCTTTGATTACTAATTGTGAGAACTGTGCATGTATATTAATCTACTGATCTATATTTGCATTGCATTTACCAAGTTACTAGGTGCTTTTTGGCAGGAGTTCTTCCCTCATAGTAAGCAAAACAAAATCTTTCTTTTTAAAAATTTCTAAGAATTTTGGGACCAAGTGTAAAGAATCTATATATTTGGTTTACAATTTTGTTTTAAGCCATGGTCAATACATGGATTTTTACATCTTGTTTTGAACTTTTTTTTTAATCCTGGAAAAATGGAAAAATCCTTTATGAAGCTTGAGATCTTTAAGCGAAAATCATTTCCCCTGGAACTCAATTTAAACGTAAGGCAAGCATCCTGGAGTTTCCACAAAGCACACACGCACAGGTCTAGCTATTGATTCTCTGACAATAAATTCTATGGTTCTTAAGATTCTTTCCAATACAATTTTATATTGGATTCTTTCCTAGACAGCCTATCAGCATGGCAACTCTTTCCCCATGGTGGGTGAATTGCAGATAGTTATAACTGATTATAATTAGAAAAAAATGTGTCAGGCTCCCCCAAATATCAGTCTGCAAACTAGTTAATTTAGAATCATCTCTGGCAATTTAAAATAATAGCGTTCTTTTGTTTTCTCTTTTGAAGAGTCTATACTCTCTTGACAGGACAGTAGGTCCAGGGTATTATCTCAGAGTCCATTTTTCACTTTGATGACTTTTGAGTTAAGAATTATTCCCAGGTGACCCTTATAATGCTAAGTTCAAAAATCAGGTAAGTGATACCAAGATTTTGCTGAATATTCAAATTGTATTTATATTAAACAGTTCTCACTTAGGCATTACTGATTAGTAATACTTTTCCATATTCTTATTTTCTAAAGTAGCTTGGACAAAAATTAAGTATTATTATTGAGCACCTAGCAATTTAAAAAAATAGAACTTTTCACATAATAGCAAAATATATTTTTCATTTTCTTGGTAATTGCTCAAATTAATATCAGTCTTACTAAAATTAGTAAGTATAGCTATATCTCTTGTGGTGCTCTTATCTCTTGTGTTGGGTGCAGTACTGTCCTTGGTACATGGTACACATTGCCACACTTATACACACAACTTCCTTAAGAGGTCAAAATTGAGATCCCCATTTCACAGGGAATAAAACTGAGGTTTTAGGGGCTTTCATGTGAATTGTATTGCTAAATGTTAAAAGCTTGGCTTACACTTAATTTGATCTAATATACATAAGTATAAATTATAGCATCTCTTTTTAAAAAGTATGTTCTTTCAACTGAGTGTATACTTCAAAAACATCTAAGCTAATCTTTTCTGGAAACAGCATATAAGAGTCATTTTGTTGACAAAATATATCCTAAAAATTAAATGAAATCTGTCAATGCTTTGAGTCCATACTTTTGTGAAGAGCAGATAAGCCTTATTTATTTTATTTTTTTATTTTTTTATTTTTTTGAGACAGAGCCTCAAGCTGTCCCCCTGGGTAGAGTGCCGTGGCATTACAGCTCACAGCAACCTCCAACTCCTGGGCACAAGCGAGTCTCCTGCCTCTACCTCCCAAGTAGCTGGGACCACAGGCGCCGGCCACAACGCCTGGCTATTTTTTGGCTGCAGCTGTCATTGTTGTTTGGCGGGTCCGGGCTGGGGATTCGAACCCTCCACCTTAGGTGTACATGGCTGGCGCCTTAGCCGGTTGAGCTATAGGCGCCGAGCCTATTTATTTTGATTTGCCACAGAAACATCACTTATGAAAAGGGTTCTTAATATAATGAAGTCAGTTTGGAATAATTCTTTGTGTGAGGCTGTGTTCTTTTAAAAACAGGTCACTGTTCTTGGCATCTCTCTTCTCTTTACTTCCTGTTTCTAGGTTTTCAACTCAAAATTATGAAACATAAGATTGTTTTAGAAGTTTGTCTTGGGGCAGTGCCTGTGACTCAGTGAGTAGGGCACCGGCCCCATATACCAAGGGTAGTGGGTTCAAACCTGGCCCCGGCCAAACTGCAAGAAAAAATAGCCAGGCATTGTGGTGGGCACCTGTAGTCCCAGCTACTCGGGAGGCTGAGGCTTAGAATCGTCTAAGCCCAGGAGTTGGAGGTTGCTGTGAGCTGTGTGACACCACAGCACTCTACCAAGGGTGACAAAGTGAGACTCTGTCTCTACAAAAAAACCAAAAAAGTTTGTCTGTATCATTTCAAGTAAAATTACATTGTTCAAATAGAATAATGTAGGTTGCAAATGAGAGGAAGTTAGAAGAGGAACTTGTTGAGTCTTAGCAATTAGAGGAACTTGTTAGGTCACAACAATTATTTGTCTTGAAATGAAGATGCCGTTCAGACTAACGGAGGTAGTTACATCTCACACAAGGTCAACACTGTTGTGTCAATTCTAATGCATGGTGGCTTCATAATATATTAAATTTGTACCTTTTAAAAATAAATGTTTCACAGGAGCCTTGTCCTATGCTGAACTGGGAACAAGTATAAAGAAATCTGGTGGTCATTACACATATATTCTGGAAGTCTTTGGTCCATTACCAGCTTTTGTCCGAGTCTGGGTAGAACTGCTCATAATACGGTAAGAACATGGATAGAAAACAATTAAGAACAAGTAAATCTATTCATTACCTGATTTTTGGGAAGCACCTGGATTGTTTTTAGCTAGATGGAAATATGCATGTCATATGAAATTGTTAAAAACATGTCTACCTAGGAAATAAAACCTGTGATAATATAACTTTCTGAATTGACATCTGTAATGCAGTTTGTCACTGGTAAGTGGTTAATTAGCAATGACAAACTTTTAAAGTACTGCTTTTCTTTAACCTTCAGTTATTCTCTTTGACATTTCCAGGAAAGATGCTTTCTTGAAAGGATAGGAAGCATCAAAATTCCCCTGGATAAATAATTCCTTTTGACTAACCAGACAAAATTAAATATTATGCTAGTAATTACAGTTTTCTCTTATTGTAGACTACACCTGCAAGTCATTATAACTCTACTCAGTTTGCGTTACTAAGCAACTTTTATGCCTAACGACTTAGGTGTCACCAAGTCTTACATTTTATAAAAACTCAAATTTACATGACATAAATGACTCACTTCCTCCCATTAAGCAAATCAGGAACTACAGTTGTGAAAATCTTTTTTGATTTTATTGTTGTAGGAATACATCTACCTGCCTGATTGTGTTGGTTTAAAAAGAAACAAAATAGTGCTAAGTCACTGTGAATAGTAAATTTTCTTCAACTGTATGGGAAACTGATGATGTCACATGAGGATTCAGAGTATCACAGTTCCTTCCATAAAATGCAACTTGCACATTCTGATTACAGAGTTTAATAGAATTAACTAAGGAAACTTGCTCTCACTGTAAACTTCTCAGACATACATACCTGAGAGCTCTTGTGAACTTTTATCCTGTCATTAGTGGCTAAGCAGCAAGGCTGAGCCACTAGTATTGACTTAGAAATAAGTCAGTGATTTTTATGGAGTTTCTTTTTTAATAAAGAGCTTCAATGTCATTAAGTCTATTCTCATTGTAAACAATTATGCATTGTTTAAATTTGTTATAATGAAATTAATGATACAGGAGTATTTTGCTCCTTTTCCAAAATCCCTTTTCTGGGATAAATCTTTGTTCCTTTTTGATTATCTGAATTTTATGTACTTTTCAAAGGGAACTCATATCCTGTCTTTTGGGCAGCACCTGTGGCTCAAAGGAGTAGGGCACTGGCCCCATATGCTGGAGGTGGTGGATTCAAACTCAGCCCCGACCAAAAACTGAAAAAAAAAAATCATAGTTACCTTCCTGTTTATTTTAATTTTTATCATTTATTTCATTTCTTAATTCTTTTGAAAAAATGCAGTCTTTGTTTCTCCTTTGACATAATTCTTGTATAATTACTTAATATTTTAGATGTCTGTATTCTGTTAAATATTTTAGATGTCTGTATTCTATTAAAACTGCAAACATTTCGAGCACATAAGATGTGATCTTACACTTTTTGTTACCCTTATAATATATAAGTCAGTGCCCTATATATTGTAGATAATAACATATTTTTGAATAAGTGATTGAAAGATAAAGTTATAGTGTTTTAGACACAGCGTTCTTAGGATTCAAATGAGCACACTACTTATTCTGAGTGCTGGCCTCTCAGGCTGGTGGGCCTTGAATAGTTGGACTTGAATTCATCTCCAGCCATGTATTAGCTGTGTCATTGGTTCCTTGCTCAGAAATATGATAAATGACCAACATGATCATTTAAGTATCTCTTACATCTTACAGTAGAACAGATACAGTATTTCTTTATTATTTATTTATTTCACAAACTGCTCTTGAATGGTAAAGGGCAAAATAAAGAATTCTTGAGTGGAATGAGCCATAATCCCTGCTCCCAAGAGCTGATAATCAAATGTTGCTTTAATTTCAAGAGAACTGGTTCATATTGTGTGTGTGTGTGTGTGTGTGTGTGTGTGTGCATGTTTGTTAACAGAGAATATTACTTGGATGTTTTTAGAAACTTTTTAATGCGTTTATATATCCATTTGTTATAATCGACTCATATTGCTGAGTTAGTCTTTCAAATAGGCAGAATAATAAAGAACTTCAGGAGGGACAAGATGTCTAAGTGACTTAACAGATCTCTTGTATTACTGATACTCGTAGTAGCTAAATACTTCTCAAGAAAATTAAATCTTCAGATTAAGTTAGCATTACCAGATATGATCTGAAAAACACAGATTTCAAGAAAATAAGTATCATCCAGCAGTAGATAGCAGAGGCCATTAAGTTGAATTCACTCATTTACTATAAATTTAATATGCGCCGGGTTTCTACTACATGATAGATGCAGGCACTGAACATCAGAAATAAAATTGTGATTAAGATGAACACAGTCTTATCCTCATGGGGTTTGAGGTCAAGTGAGAAATAGTTATTAATCAAGAAGACAAGTAAGTGAATGTGAAAGTGCTACTTACTGTGTTGAGTATTTGGAAGAGAAGCCAGGGGCTTCAGCAAGAGTATACTCCAAGAGGCCTGACTCACTCAGAAGGTGGAGAAGCTTTCCTGGGCAAAGGAAGCTTGAACTGAGATCTGAAGTATAAAAATAGTCAATGAGTTGAAAAGTCTCCAGGAAGGGAATTTCAGATCCTTCTAGTGGGAGAAAGCCAACTGAAGAGGTAGAAAGGGGCTTAGACCAGATGGAGCCGTGAGTGCAAGGGGAGGGATTTGTATATATCCTGAGCATGTTTCGATGGAGAATAGGAAAATGGTTTTGTTTGGAAGGATGAGGGAAGGGCCTCTAGGTGAAGAAGAAAATTAAGAAATTTATGGTATCGTCCTATACCATATGCTAAAAAGCAATAGTTTACGGTAGAAAAAAGATTGATGAAAATGGTATTTTTCCCCTGTGTTTAATTAATTAATTATTTTATATATTTTTTAGCCCTGCAGCTACTGCTGTGATATCCCTGGCATTTGGACGCTACATTCTGGAACCATTTTTTATTCACTGTGAAATTCCTGAACTTGCAATCAAGCTCATTACAGCTGTGGGCATAAGTGAGTATTCTAGGTATGCATGTGAAAAAGAAAATAATGGCAAAAAAGTGATTTGAGACCAAGTTTCTTTAGATTTTTTCCATGGTGAAGACTGCTCCACATACCATGTTCTCTTTTGCATACAGTTGCAAATTTGTGTTGAATGATAAAAGAATATACATTTGAAGTGGCCTCTGACATTACCTTACTTGCCAGTTCTATATTGGGTCAAAGGATAAAATGGTTTAGGGGTCGAAGTGAAAGTTCCTCTGTGCTTTTTAAAAGTTTGCTGAAAAAGCAGCTTGCAAAAGGCAAATTAATTGAAAAAAGGTGTATACAACATGTATTTAACATGTATATGTGGAGGCCTTTAGAATGAAGACCCAAAGATAATAGGGGAAATTGTCTATTTTTAATCTTAGACTCAACAAAGTATGGAGAGAAGTATAAAAATGTGATTGGATCAAAAAGGTGTGGTCTAATGCTAACAGACTAAGTGGGAAACCCAGAAGGCCTATCTGTCTGGATACTTCTTGGTCTTTCTGAGTGTGTGTTCCTTCCTGCTGGGTATGAGGCGGGACCCTGTTGTAAAGAGGGCCTTATGACCATCAAACAAAGTAGGTCAGGTTATTTTTTGGTGGGGAGGTAACTTTTACACAGAAAGGCAGATGGAAAGTTAGAATAATAATTTTAAGTTTTATGGTTGACTGTAGGAGAAAGGGTCTCCGGGTTTCTATGAACTGCCTTGGAGAAGAAGGATTCTTGTTTCTATGGCTAGCCTCAGGGAAGAAGGGACTGAGAGACAGGAGGATGGGGAAAAAGGCAGAGAAAAACTTTTGCTTCTGAGGCCTTCATTTTGGGGTATCGTTTTCTGAGTGCCAACAATGGCTAATTTTTAAAATAGGCATATAAAGCCTACTTCGTTAATAAAATATTTAGTGGATTGTATATAAGAGAGACTTTTAAAAATGAAAACCTCATTATCCTATGGATAATTAGAATTGGAAATTAATTTACCTCAGTGGTACATTAAGTAATGAGTCATATATCATCATGGAGTTACGTTGGATGTGTATCTTGTATTTATACATCGTATAGTTAGCAGCTATCACTTTCAGTGTGATAGTCTTAACTGCCTATTGTTGGGCATATGAGATTTTTTTCCTTGAGATCTGATTATTGGTAGCATTTCTGAATTAGGAGATTTCTTTATGGTCTCCAAATTAAGAGTTGTTCATCTTTTATCAATGGGTACAGAAATTGAAAAAAGGAAAAAGGAGAAAGAGGAACATGTAAAAAATTGTGTAAGTTATGAACCCCAAAATAACTCCAACTTCCTATAAGATTTCAGACATCAAATCCTTGACTAATGTGGGAATGGACATCCAGCCATCTAAGTCTAGACGCTATTCAAATCACTGTTTCAAGAAACAGTATGATCACGTTTGATGAGTAGTTAAAACTCAGACAGTTACAGAGGAATAACTGAATTGCATGCTCAGGAAAGAATTTTTAGTCATGTATGGCTAAGGGGTTTCAAAAGGGCAACCAAGAGATCAACGCACATTTGACAATAGAGAGGCCAGGGGTTAGTTTTCATAAAAGCATTAGGAATTACACATGAACACATCTCTAGTGCTAGGTACTTACGTTTCTGAACTTAAGTAGTTTCATCTTGTATTTCCTGCTTTATTTGCCAAATGTATACATATTGTTCTTCTGTGAAATCTGTGTAAAGACAAAGAAAAATACTCAAAACTGACATTTCTAAGTTCAGAAAGGTACTGGTGTACTTGATTCAATTTGCCTTTAGCATAACCTGTAGATATGAGATGGGGGGGAGGACAGGGAGGGGTCAAGTCACTTAACATTACTGTACCTCAGGATACTTATGTGTAAATTATGCCAGGGTTATAGGGTGTTATGAAGATTAAATGATATTAAACGTAAATTGTTTGGAGGTAATGCTTGTAACTTATTAAGAACATGGTATAAATGACAGCTCTTGATGCTTTTTGGAAAAACATCTTTTGATGTTCCATGAGATTAGGAATCTGTCCATTGCTGTATTTTGAGCTCCCCACACATCTCCTAGCATGTTATTAGTGTACCATAAATATTTGTTGGCTGACCAATTTTATGAGAAAACCACTAGAATTATTTTCTAGAGTAGAAAAGTCCATAATCTGTTTACTTATTGAACGTGGAGCATTAGATACCTTCAGTTTTCTCAAGCAGTAGAAAAAGTGTGGTGAAATGAAATAGAGTTTCCACAGTACAGTGTTCTGATCTAGCACCACGAGTTTTTGTGGGATGAACCATTTTAGCACAGAGATTATAGCTCAGGCTCTAGAGGCAAATAAAACCTGGAATTGTATTTGGTTTTATAATGTCTTGATAATGTGATTTGGGGTTAATTATTAAAGCTCTAAGCTTTGATTTTATTTATTGGTAAAATAGCTATGAAAAAATATATAATCTACTGGGAATAGTTAAAGAAGAATGAAATTAAGTCACATTTTTAAGACCTGTAGCAGAATGCTTTTCCCATAGAAAGTTCTTTATTTTCCTTAATTTTATTATTTATTTATTTAGTTATTTTTCTGTAGAGACAGAGTCTCACTTTATCATCCTCGGTAGAGTGCTGTGGCATCACACAGCTCACAGCAGCCTCCAACTCTGGACTAACAGCCATTGGTATAGCTATCTTATTCTGTCCCTTGAATAGCTGACTGCATCACAACTATTCCATTAAGAAAAGAGAAGGGCAGAGGCAGCATCTGGGGAATTAACAACAGAAATTTATTAATTAAAAGCTATAATCAGTAGACCAGTGTTTTTTTAACATTTTTTTATTTCATGGCAAACTTGAACCTATAGTTAAACTTCCATAGTACACTTAAATTATGTTGATTAAAGAAAGAGTTAAAAAAAAAAAAGGTAGGGCATTGCCCGTAGCTCAGTGAGTAGGGAGCTGGCCACGTACACCAGGCTGGCAGGTTTGAGTCAGGCCTGGACCTGCTAAACAACAAAGACAACAGTACCCCAAAATAGCTGGGCTTTGTGGCAGGCGCCTGTAGTCCAGCTTCTTGGGAGGCTGAAGCAAGAGAATGGATTTAGTCCAAGTGTTTGAGGTTGCTGTGAGCTGTGATGATACAGCACTCTAACCAGTGTGACAGCTTGAGACTCTGTCTCAAAAAAAAGAATATACTTACTGTGCTTTGAGCTTCTTTCGAAAATAATTTAATTAATGATCTCTAAAAATTTTCTTGGCACACCTAAGATCCTTGCAGGACACACCAGTTGAAAATCACCGCAGTGGACTTTAACTAGATCCTACGAAAATATTTCTAACTCCACAAATTTTGTCACTTTGGGCTTGAAATCAGATGGATCATAATAATATATTTTTGTAAGTCTAAATGACTATTCCTCTTATTTATCCCAATTCTATCAAACATTTTAAAGGGCCAAATTTTAGAAGATTAAATGGAAACTGTTCAAGCCAATTTTTAAAGCAGCTCTGGAAAGGATAACTGAGTATGCTGGGCTTTATAAGACATCTTTAGCAGAAATTCGTCATGGAACAGTTACCAAATAGACTCAGTAAACATTAGATGAACCCAGACACTTTATTCTGTTTTTGCCACTAATTATAACAATTTATAAATTTTGATGTTCCCTTGCAATCTCTTGCTTCTGAGATTCTGAGAAGGAAAAACTGTGTTTCATAATCAAAGCAGTGAAGATGACTGGATATTCTTAGGACTTAGTGGTAGGTAGTGTAAATCAGGGGCCTAATTGGGAAAGTCAGATTGTCTTTAAGAAAAATTTAGCTTGCACGGAGCAACAGGAATGAAGATGGAGATAGAGAAGGAGAAATTTACCTAAGGGCAAATTTCTCACATCCTGGACTCTTCAAGGTGAATATAAGAGATTTTCTACCTGTTCAGGGTGGAAGGTTACTGAGATGTAGAAATCCATTTAATTGGACGAATTGCTCCTCTATGATCTTTGGGGAGAGAAACAGTTTGTGGTAGTTTGAAATCTCTAGTTAAGTATAGAAAAAGAGCAGATAGAAGAAGGGTCTTATTGTATCACAGATGAATAAAATTTCAAATTTTGTGAAATGGTAACTAACCATTTGAGGAATGACAATGCATTGGGGGTGGGAGTTAACTAAATGTTAATTGAACCCCATTTTAAAAAGTGCTATGCTTCATTTCTGTCAAATTAGTAAGGATGAAATGCTTTTCCTTATCTCAAATCCTGTCCATTCTGGTAAGTGTGTCAGCCACATGAAAGTTTCGCTGGAAAATCTTTATATTCACATGTGACAGCTCTCCTGTCACCCAATGCTGACATTACTCACTATTCCTTCTGTGGAAGTCTATGAATTTTCACTGCTTTCGTAGCTTCAATCAGCACTGAAATATATGCAATATTTAAAATATTTAGTCTATTCTGTTCTCCTGAAACTAGACCCTAAATAAAGATACACTTGAATGGCAGAATATGGTAATAAAATACTTTCCTTAGAATATGAGATCTAGTCTCAGATCAACCCCTAACAAGTTCAATTGTTAGGTCTCAATTTCCAAGCTGATTTATTTTATATAGATAAGTTAGGAGCCCTATCCTATGTCTCAAAACTCATTGGGAGGAACGGAGAGAAACAAAATAGCATTTGTGATTGCATCGTGGAAAAGAAAAATTAACCAGTTCTATAAATGTATTACTTTATATTCTTTTTGAAAATCATATTTTCCTGTCACTGTTCAATTACATGAAAGGAAATCTAAGACTCTGTGTTAGCATTTCAAAGATAGCACATGAAGTGGCTATACCCACTCTTTTTCTACTGTAACTAAATTACCAATTCCCAAGACAACCAATACTTAGGTAGATATGCATAGTTTTAAAGTATGCAAGTACAAGTATCATATATTTTTTAGGAGGATGACAAATAAAATGTGGAATCAAAGTGTCCTAAAATTCCAGCTAGATAAGCACAAATCTTT